TTTGGGATCCCCAGGACAGATGCACCTGTGGCTGCAGATCACCGTCTCAGAAGCCTGCTTCTGTTTGCTTAGCCAGTGTTTTGACAGATTCTGATGACAGCAGCTGGGCTGGCTCCCCAGGTGGATCCTTTTGGGGACCTGGGAGAAGGGAAGGATGGCCTGGCTCCTTGGAAATGTCCTAGATGTCAAGGAAGCTGAGAGGAAGGAGGACTGTCCTGAGCTGTGCCCTTATCTCACCCGCAGGTGCCATGTTGGACATCGGCATCTGTTTTTGACCCCTTTCCTTCTGCTAGTCACCCTCCTAGCAGTGCAGAGATGCAGCAGGTTCTAGCTTTCGTGTGTCAAACTGAAGCTGGGGACAGGAGAGTTGGCAGAGGATGCACACTGCTGTGCACGGAGCCTCTGCAGCAGGGCGGATAGGTGTCCCTCGCTGTGGTGCACGGTGGGAGGGCGCTGCTCTCATCTTGGGTGCCCTGCTGCTCCCATGAGCAATTTTGCTGGGCGCCGTGAGGCCTGCCTTGTCCCCAGGAAGGGCTTTGAGGCAGACAGAAGTGCCAGCTGGTTGGTGACTGCTATTGCAGCCTTATCCCCGTTGACCTGTGTTCCTTCTCTGGCTTTTTAACTGGACCAAAGATAAAGGACTGTGTGGGCCCTCCAGTCGCTTAAGGTGGGAAAGGCTGTTCCTTTGGAAGTTGCCAAATACGTCGAGTTGCCATATGTAAAAGCGGTATTGTTTCTGTGATGGTCTCGCAGATGCCCTGAGTGAGTGTGCTGTTTGTGTCTCTCCGTGGTCTCTAACCTCAGCAAACCTGCCCCACGGTACCTCGGCACTGTGCCCCGCAGTGTGTGTGTTGGCGGGCAGCCGGAGGCCTCTTTTGTCTCTGATACCACCCCCTACCCCTGTGACTTTCTCCTGGGAGTGCCATGTTGGATCAAGTGCTTGTCTGACCCGGGCGCTGTAGCGCTTGTACCTGCATTTCTGCTCTGAGTGTTTGAGTCTCCGTGAGCAGTCATGAAAGGCAGAGGAGCTGGAGCATACTTCATTTTCCCTAGACAACTTTCAGTAGCATGGCACATGGGAGAGACGGGGAAGGTGCCTGTGGGGAATGCACTGCCTAGAAGCCGCCTTGGCCCAGGCACTGAGGGGCACCTTTAAAGCCAAGCTCTGTGGCTCAGCTGCTTATCAGGGCACAAGGGCAGCGATTTCTAGAAAGACTGGACTGTACCACATACCTTTTGAGCATAGAACCTGACCGTGCCCAGGTGGCTTACATTTTCTCTAGGCTCTCACACATTTTCTCCTTTCTCTAGCTGTAGAATAGCATAGAAGCGTGTGCGCCGGTTCCCGCAGCACCTGCACATGGACGCCATTGTAAGTGCACATGTTGGCACCTCAGAAGTCTGGCTGTGCCTGATACTTTTACAGCTGTAACGTGTTAGTTCTACTTACAGGAAGTGCAGTCACTCTTCCCAAAGGGTCATAGGCCTCTATCCTGTCATATCTGTCTATCCTAAAAAAGTTTAGGTGTAGTCAGGGAAAAGCAGAGATAGCAGGAGTTACTGCTCTGCCTAGCAGAGGACTTTGGAAGAGGGAGTTTTGGCCAAATGGAATGTCGTCATACTAAGAGAAGCACTCCGTTTGGGGCCTTGCACCCACTTTTGTAGGCCCTTGTCCCTCTGCTTCCCTGGCCATGCTGGGTGCTCAGCGCTGAGCAGGGGTCTGGGCGGGGCTGGTGCCCTGGCCCCAGCCCCAGTTTTAGCACCAAGTTCATCGAGAAGGAATGAGGCAGGAGGTAGGCCTTGAGCAAGTACCTCCTGAATGCAGTGTTACCTTCATTGAACTTTCCAGACTGCCACAGCTCATCAATAAAAACGCTGCTGCTGAGCCCCAAGCCAGGCGCCCTGGGAAACTGGCATCCTCCTTCCTGGTAGAGGTCACTGCTGAAGGCCCTTTGCGGCTCTGTGCTTCAGGAGTCAGAGGGTGGTTTGTTTTTTCAGGGTTCTTGGAAGTGGTTTTGTTTTCCAGGTTTGTAGATTTTATTTGAATATTGATTCAAAGAAACAAGCAGTAGGGAGTTTGAATACTGACTTATACTTGGATATTAAAATTTTTTAATTATCTTAATTATTGTAACGCAATTATGAAAATACTTTCACTGGCCTAGGGATAACGTACAGTCAGAATTGTGACTCCTAACTTTACCCCCCAAACAACCAGGGGCTGCAAACACAGGGGACCTCACATGATTTTGTTGAAGTTTTGAGAGCCACACAACCCCAAAGACTATGCAAATAGAGGGGAGCACTGGAGAGAATTCCTCTTCCTGACAAAATCAACCCCGGATGGCAAATGTGGACAAACTCAAAACACAGCTGCCTGGTCTGTTCAGAGCAGGGCCGATGGGGAGCTGAAAGGGGGGCGTTCGCTGGGAGATATTTTACCTGCGCCCTTAGGATCCATGCCAGTGTTCCTGCTCCTCGGCCTTCTACCCTAGGCAGTCTGGCTGGTCCCTGCAGAGGGAGCTCTGCCCTCCCTCCTGTTGGTTTGTGGATGTTACATGACCAGCGACCCACACTCCCTGGCCCCCCAGGACTGCCAGGTGGGGAGTGTCTCTGCCTCAGGTCTGGGCCACCATCCAGAGCGCTGAGCCAGCACCACCTCTGCTTTTCTGCAGAACCTGGTCCTTTCCCTGGGTGTGAGGTGGGGCCAGCTGCCTCTGAAGTGACTTAGTTTCTGCACAATCATTATTGCTCTTCCGTGTCAGCAAGGCGTGGGTGGAAGCAACAGAGATGCTGAATATGGCTAAAGGGACACCCACACCCTCCAGCATAGCCTTTGATCCAGACCTTTGGGACCATAGCTGTCACTTGTGGGTACCCTTTGTTATTGTTTATGTGTCTGAAAAAAAGTCTGAAACGCTGTGACTTTTTTTTTTTTTTTGGTCAATAAAGATATGAAATAAAGGTTTGAGTGTTAGACTGCAAGTGTATTTGCCATTGCGGCTACTTCCCATTGATGCTTCTCAAGTGGGTCTCTGGAGATGGGCTCCCTGCCCCATCCTCCAGGGCAGCTTGCAGAGTCCTCATTGCTGCTGCTAAAACCGCCTGAGGGTGTTGGGCCTTCTCCCTCCCCCATTTCCCTTCCTGAGTCTGAAAGGCCCCAGAGGGTGCTGAGGAACAGAAGGCGGGAACAGATGGGCTGCCCACCAGGGAGCTGGAGGGACAAGGGGAGGAGCATGTGCTGGTTTTGAAGGGAAAGAAGTCTTCCTGGAAATGAGGAGTGACAAGGTGCCCATTTTCTCTGCAAAAAAGAAGATGAAAAAACATGGTAAGCAACCAAAGCAAGTATTCATCACTCAGCACCAGGCAGGGGTGGAGCTTTAAAGGCTTTAGATCAGTGCGGCAAACCATTTAGAGACCCAGTGCCCAACTGCAACCCCAGACTCAATTACTTGTCACAAAGTGCCAACACTGTGATTAAACCTGAATATTGAGGTTTTAGCTTAGAAAAAACAACCCATCCAATGCTCGGCTGCTCAGGCAATATGGCGCTTACGCTGATGGAGGGCCCTGTACCTGCTGCAGTGTGCATGCCATAGGTTTGCCACCACTGCTAAGATCATCCCTTCCTGTGCAAGACCGACAGCTGGGAAGATGTGATGCCCACATACACCCTGTATCAGGGTCCATGCAGGAGATGGACCCAGCACCTGCTAACCTGGAGTGGTGCAGGAGGAGGGACCCCGGGTTACCACAGCTGCAGGGGTTGTAGGGTGCGGTTATTGCTTCCAGGATAGGAGCAATGGCAGGAAGCTGTATTATAAGAATGTAGCGTGGGGCTGGGGATATAGCTCAGTGGCACAAGCGCCTTCCTGGCAAGCGCAAGGTCCTGGTTCAATTCCTGGTACCAAAAAAAAAAAAAAAAAGAATGTAGTGTGGGAGGAGGGACCTGCAGAGAGGGAGATGGAAATGGGTTGGCGCTTCTGTCCAAGGACCCCAGCTGCTCTGAGGACTGTGGTACAACTCTAAGGAATGAACCAAACTCCCAGACCCAGCTGGTGCTACCACAGTGCAGCAGTGCTGCTGTGGTTACACTGGTCGTGCTGCTAACAGCAAGCAGGGAGGAGGCATCCCTTCTTTGTTCCCTCTCGCCTGGCTGTGTCGCTCTCAGAGCTGCTGGAGCAGCTGGGGAAGGACAAGTGTGCCCCTGCAGCAAAGTATGGAGCTGGGGCTTGGGGCTGAGACGACAATACCAGAACCAATACCAATGTACACTTGAACTTCCACACAATGACTAAGAAAAAACGTATGCCTCCACAGAACAAGATACAACTACCCCTTGTACAAACAGAGATCCCTTGCTCTTCAAAATGGGCAAAATATCCACCATGCCCCTGTCAGCAAGCTGGTCACTACCTACTTCTGGGCCACAGTAATTAAACCTCCGCTGGCTTGGTGCAGCGGTGGCAAACCTATGGCACACATAGCGCTAAAAGGTTTGCCATCACTGCGTTGGTGGGTCAGACACCACCCACTTGGTGACCGCAGTCCAGGTTACACTTGATGGTGCCTGGTTAGGTGCTCCACATCCGCCAGGGCCCAGAAGCAAGGGGGAGCTGTTTCTCAAAGGGAGAGATTAGCGAGCTGTAAAAAAAGCCTGGATCACGTCCTGAGCCCTGCAGTTCTGTGTGGTGAGTGTGCATTTGGGGCTGCCGGAGGCTCTGGGTACATCAGCTTTTGCAACAGATCACTGAATCTGCTCTGTCATAAAGCCCAGGTGGCCGCCACACAGAGCTAAATTTTTAATGAGAATCATAAGACATAAAGACTTTTCATCAGTAAGGCTCTCCCCTGGAGTGAGCTATGACTGTATTATAAAGCCAGTTTAATTTTCCATACAGCTTTCAATACAATGCAATTCAGTTGCTAAGTTTTCTATTTTATTTTTACTTAACATTTTTATTGCAAGGTGTGGTGGCACACACCTGGAATCTCAGCACTTGGGAGGCTGAGGCAGAAGAATTGTGAGTTTGAGGCCAGCCTGGCCTACATAGCAAGACCTTGTCTCAAAAAAATATACTTTTTTTTGGTAAGAATGTTGTTCTTCATGAGATTATGCTGGGAAACTTTAATTCAATTTAACCAACTCCAACTTTTGCTGTTACAAGTTGTAGCTTTGCCTGCATTTTTCCTTTTGTGACTATTACCTCCTCTGTTTATTTTCCTCAAGTCAAATTTTTTATATCAAAACCTAAACATTAAAGTTTTTTGTTTTTTGTTTGTTTGGTTGGTTTTTTTTGTTTTGTTTTGTTTTGTTTTGTCTTTTTGAGACAGAGTCTCCCTATGCAGTTCAGTCTGGCCCTGAGTTCACTTTGCAGCCCAGGCTGGTTTTGAACTTTCAGTGATCCTCCTGCTCAGCCTACAGAGTTCTGGGATTACAGGCGTGCACCACCACACCTGGCTAAAGTATTTTAATAGTAAATTAAAGCATTTAGACTGATACTGGTTTTCTCTTAATTATAATTATAACTAATAGTACATATATAAAAAACATAATACAGCCATGCGTGATGCCACATGGCTATAACCCCAGCACTCTGAGAGGCTGAGGCAGGAGGATCACAAGTTTGAGCTCAGCCTGGGAGTTTAGTGAGTTAGCAAGACCCTGTTCTTAAAAATTACAAAAAGGGGCAGGAAGATGACAGAGTGGTGAGCAGCAGAGAAAGAAACTCTCCTAGATTTGGCTTCTAAC